ATAACAAATATAAACAAAAACTGTTCTCCTTATTTCTGGAAGTTGCATTACAATCTATAAAAAAATTTAAATATTAATTTAAAATATTAAGAAACATATATATGTTTCATAATAACATGAAAATTTTTTTAAAAATTATAAATCCACACACTTGTTTGCATTGTAAATAATTTGTTGCAGCAGATAAGCATACACTATGGAGGTTGTATGGAATTAAAGGTTCAGCTGTAGACTCTAGAAGTAAAAGTAATGCTTCTGCAACAGAGTGAACACTACCAGCTTTGTAGTTGTTAAGGAATCAAAATTATTTATAATGATGTATAAGATATTGATGTATAAGTTGAATATTTTGATTAGGATACGCATTGGATCTTGACTCCAATTGTCTAACCAATCTCTTATAGCTATAATTTCACTGGGAAGACCCGGTGTTTCAAAAAGTCCCGTCGTTTTTATACCATGTCGATACAACCTATCAACTAAGAGCCATATTTCTTTAGGTATAGCATATGGTTCTTGAGAAAGATTTTTATTATTTTCCTATGATTTTATGAAATAATAATATTAAGTTAATTGTAGGATTTTAATTTTATTTTTTTTTTATACATATATATACTTATATAATATGCTTACAAGTTCCATTAATCTACCAATAGGAATTTCTCTAATTGGTACTGGAATATGAACTAAAGCTTCCATTGAAGATCCAAAACAGCTTCTTTCATAGGTACCTAAGAAAGTAATATAATCTCGTTTCTTTATTCTTTAAAAGCAATGTAGTGTTAAAATATTGCAAACCTGTAACTGTTATAAATATATCCTTTCCTCCTTCCAAATGTAAAATTAAAATATCATATAATTTATCTTCTCCTGAATTTAATTTACATGCTGACCTTTTATCAACATATATTTCAAATCTAGTATCACATTTTTCTCCTAAACATGATAAAAAAATAAATTTATAAAATATCCAATTTGATTAAAAAAAAAAGAAAAAATTATACCTGGTTTTATAAAACCTTTAAATGGTTCTATATCCAACCATTCTTTACAATAACTAGTGTCACCTAATTTTTTTATAAATTCAAATTGAACTGGTACCTATAAATAGCATAATTAATAAAAAAAAAAGAAAAATATTTCATGTAACACAATAATTAGATTTTATAAAAGTAATAATAATTAATAATAATTAATAAAATAATATAATATAATTAACTAATTAATAACTAATTAACTAATTAATAATAATTAGTAAAATAATAATTTTTTGTTGCATGTAAACGGATAATTTGATATGAATTTATTATATATATCAAATCATATTGTATAAATATTGCATTATATAAGAATTGTTATTTTAAACTATATTATATTACAATATCGTTAAATAGCGAATTATATGAGGATTATCTATATATATTTTAAAAGTTTATTTACCTGGCCAGTATTAGCAATAATAAGTTCTTTGCTACTAGGTTCAAGAAATTTTAATGTATCAAATATAATTTCTGTTGTATCAACCATCACTTGTGGTAAAAATTCGTTTTCTAATTTATCAAGTTTTTTCATAACTTCTTCGTGGATTTTACGATATTTTGCCATATCTATGATTCTAATCTATAAGTTGAAAAATATGATAAATTAAAAAATTTAAATAAAATTTTGTTTTATTTTATTAATTTTTTGTACTATTCAAAAATATTTATATTTACCTGAGAATCAAAAATTGCACTAACTGGTTTATGATCTGAAATTTTTAATTCAGAATGACTTCTATAATCTATTGATGTAATTGCTTCGCCTTTCCATAATATACGATCACACCATGCTGGTGCTCTACCTTTTTCACTATAATTGATATTTATATTTAATAAATGATATAATATATGTATATTTAAATACACAAAGAAAAATTCAAAATATAATTATAAAACCTTGAATCCCAATTATCAGTGCCTGGATCATATTTATATGTTGGTTTAAATGTAATTTCTGCTTCTTGAAATCCTTGTAAAACACGACCTAATCGTCGTTGTTGACCTAATTGATCTAAAGCTAAGACAGCAGAATAGTTTTCTTCATCTATATGTTGTTTAGCGACCATGACATCCATTTCAGTTATTCGATAGTTCAGATCTCCTAACCAATAGATCTGACTATTTATAAAATTTTTATATTTTTAATTACACAATTTTACACTATATACTTTGAAATATAATATATGAATAGGATACTTACTCATGATCTTTAAAATTTTTAGGCGGAACATATTTTGTAAAAGATAATCGCGCACATATATCTGCATAATCTTGATTTCGTCTTTCGTATTCTTCACAATGTGCTGCTAAATGAGCATTAACAAAACAAATAGATGTATTATGAATAGAACAACTTACTGCTACACCTCCTTTATTACCCTGATAAGATTAAATTTGTTAAAATAATTTAATATTGAATTTTAAATTCTTTTGTATTTTGTAAAATATTATAAATATAAATAATTACAATAAAAATAAATATTACCATTTTACCCATGATGCCAGTACCTACTGTATCAACTGATACATCTTTTATGTATGGTACATGATTATGCAAAGCATATATAAGCAACATCATACCCACTAATCTTACAATAGCTACTTGCTCATAAACACCATTTGGATGAAGAGATTTTGCTACAACTTGTCTATAAACACATAATATAAAAATATAAAAAAATAATATTAAAATATTATTTAATATTTATATACAAATATAATTGTTTTACCTCCATTCTTCTTCTCTTGGAGTGTCATTAAAAAGAAATGCTTCTTTAGTTAAATCTAGTTCTTGAAATCCAATTGCATATACATCAGGAGGTGTTTTATCATAACTTAACCATCTATGCAATTTAATACCATTTGGTGGTTGGCCATTTACATTCCATGTACCAATAAATATACTATAATAAATTATAAATATATATAACACTATAAATATATTATAACAAATTCTATAATAAATTATTTAGAAACTTATAATAAAATTATATATTATATAATACTATAAAATAAAATTATATAATAGTATTTTACAGAATGTATGAAAAAAATAAAACAAACCGAAATGTTTTACTGTATGTATAATCATCTTCTTTGCATGCCATTTGATATCGTACTGCTGACTCCCTAGCAGCTACTGGTGATTTGCCAGAAGCAATACTACGTCTTGTTACAACTAGAACTGGACTTTCTAGATCTACCAGCTATACAAGATATTTTTAAATTTTCATTATTAATTTTTAAATAAATGTAAAAATTACAATATAAAATCTACTAACAGGATCAGTATTATCTTGTACTTCTTCATTGGTATTGGAATTTAAGTTACGTGTATTTCCTGTTAATTTTTGAACCCATAAAAATTCTGATGCTGAATTCTTAGTTTTTTGATATACTGTAATGATTAAAAAACATATGTTTATATACTTATATTACATATAAGTAATTAGTAACATATTTTTACCTTCTATAGCTCTAAATATCTCAGATACTAAGGAGCTAGTTACTACTCCAGGTCTCATCTCAAATATTAATTGTAATTTTCTTGATGTTACATTAAGATAAACATCTAAACTATCTTGTTGTTTGTCATCAGTATCTAATAAATAATATTTATTATATATTAATATAATTATATATTAATATTAATATATAAAAATATTTTATAAAATTGAATATTATATAAATAATAAATAAAATTACATACTTATATTACATTTAAAATCTTGATCAATAGGCAATACTCTTTCTATGGTAAGATCACTATAAACTTGAGGGGGTGTTCTTGAAGTAATTAAAATAACTAATGCATGAGTAGTTCCTTTGTTAAGAAGTGCTATAATCCGTGCAGCTTTAACCCAACCTTGTATCAATGATGCTTCCATTGCCTTTTTATATGATTAAAGATTTATAGATTTATATTTTATATATACTTTTTAAAAATAGAGAAAGTATTTAATTTTTGTTTTCAATTAAAAGGATACAATTATTACAGTCTCTCCTGAGACAAATTTTGATTGTACAATCATTGATTGTTCTGATGATGACATGCTTATCAATAAAATGTTATTTTCCAAAATTTTTAATATAATTCTGATATGATGTATGTATATGAGGACTAATATAAATATAAATATAAAATATTAATATTCATTATTGAAATATATTTATTATATTAAATATATTTAACATGTGTAATGAGAATAGAATATATTCTTATTTTTTTTATATTAATAATAATAAAGAAATAATTATAATAATACATATAATATAACTTTTAAAACTAGATAAAATAATTATTTTCTGTTAATAAATTTTCATCATAAAATATTTTTTCCTTTTAAACGAAACATTACCTTATCTTATTTGTATTGAATATCGAGTATCACTGCATTTTTTCGATATAAGTTATTATTTCTTTCTAAAATATATTCCAATGTTACTATTAAGTAACTTATATTATATACTTTAATTTATCACTGAATGAATAAGAATGACAAAGTACAGTAATTGACATTAGACATGATTAAATTTGTATCCCTCGTGTGTGTCAAAGAAATCAGTAGATAGTTTGTAGCTTTTTTTTTTAATGTGGATATATATATATATATATATGTTACTCAATAAAAATGTATATGAAAATGAAGCATTTTCATGAAATGAGAAAAATAAAAAAAGTTTTTATTAAATTTGATATAAGTCGATTAAATATTTTTATTTGTTTTTTATGAAGTAAAATATTATTAAAATGTTAATATCTTATAATATAATTAATATAATTAAATTTAAATAAGAATTTTGCTTAAATAAGAAAAAAACATATTGTTTTTAATACATATTTATATATTTTATAGAATAATCAGTTTTTTGTACAAATAAAACATTTTATTGAAGATAAAATGCAATTTTAAGCGCGCAAATAGAATTTCCCTAGTAAAAATAGAAAATAGTACCTACATTGAAAATTAAAAAATAGCTATGCCAACTTCCTGAAGCGTTGTAAGCAGGTCTATGATCGTAGGTAAATCTTTCTTTTCTAGCGCATCCATTGACCATGCCGTTTACTGCAATGGCGGTATAGATATTTCATGAAGAAGAAAGTGGATTTTCTGCAATGTAAGTGAATATTGGTTTTATTTTTTTTATATACCCATATTAAATATAAAATTGTATGTTTTTCTGTGTATATTGATATCAAATTTGTGCTATTACGATATTACAGGATGATTACGATTTGTGTGGGCAAGGTCTAGTTGTACTTTTATAGACTACAGAATTCAGTTTCTTCCATATTGATCAGTGTAATAGCCAATATAATATAATCTTACTTCTAAAAAACAAAAAAATCCAGTTATCGATAATAATTGTTCCTTGAGGAGTTTATCAACTTACAACAATAGGACGCCAAAGAATTCGCGGTAATCGTTCCCGACGTCTTAGGTTAGGATGATTTAAGTATTGTTTGATGATTTCAAGTAATTCAATGTAATTTGCAAAATTTTGGTCTTTGGAAATGATATTTATATTTTATTATCATATTTATTTCCTATATATTTTTTATATTTATTTATTTGTTATTAATATTATACTAAATGAAATTTAAATGATGCATGTTAGATCTTAACAAAATTAGAGGGAAAACAGAACAATAAATAAAGTTTTAAAGTTTTTTTTGCTTTTATGGAAAAAATATTTTTTGTGATGCATTTCATTAGAGATTTAATGTTTTTAAATATATTAGATTTATATTTCTTATATTGTAATTTATTAATTTAAATAAGTTTTATAAAGTTAAATATAATTTCTTATCAGATATAAATCTTTAAAAGATATAAATATGAACAAAATTTTTTATTTTAAGAAAATATAAGATATTTTGATTTTAACAAATGTACATTGATTCTTTCTTTTGTAATAATTATACTTTTAGGTAATATTTGGTATTTCATTATCTGAATGGACAATAAGGTGGATGTCTCAGAAGTAGAAAATATTTCAATGATTGGATCTTCTGAAATTTATTATCTGCCTGAAGTCGCAGAGATATCAGAGGTATTAGATTCTACTGGTCTTAGTCCATTAACCTCTTCTTTAGACCACACTTTAACTCTTCAAGAGGATAAACTGCTTTCATCAGAAGTTAATATGGGTATAGAAGATACATGGTATGATTAATATTATTCATTTAAATAATTATTAATATGTAATAAATTATATAAATTATTAACATAATATTTGTTACATAGGACTGAAGCAAATAGTTCTACATCAGACTATGCTATTCCACTTCCACCACCACCTGGTTTAAATGATTTTACAGATGTTGGTGCAGATCCTATTGGTGATAATGGAACTGGTATAGAATATGGTCCATTTTTACCTCCTGATACTCCAGCTCTAAACAATTTGTTTTCAGAAGGTGGAGATTCTCAAGATGATTCACAAATGGGTATATATAAATATTATCATATTTATATATATATATATATATATATATATATATAAAACTATCTGATTTTTAAAAAAAATTTATTTATTAAGATAATTGATTAATGTTTTATTTGTATTTATGTTATATAGAAGATGTAGTTTTACGTGCAGGAGTATGTGGTCTTCGCAATCTCGGTAATACTTGCTTTATGGCTGCTG